CTGTTTTGTTTTGCCGAAGCCACTGAGAAGTACAAATATTCTGGACGCTGTGCATGAGCAGGAGGTTAGAAATATACAGAATCGGGCAGCCACACGGAGCGTTACATTACATTACGTGCCTTTGATTTAAAGATTTGACTGGAGCACTTTGCATGCTGGGAGCTCAAGATACTATAAAACAAGTTAGACAGCCAAAAAGAAATGTTCTGTAATGATATACAGAGTGTATTAAATCAATGCTCCCCTGTGATTGTAATAAAAGTCAAGAGGACGGCGCAAGAATTCTAAAGCAGGACAAATGAAAATGAAAATGAAGGACTTTAATGCAAATGTGTCCGAATAGTAGTCGCAGGATCCATTACCGTATTTTCCTTTTTGAGTCTTGAATACAAATGATTCATCCAAGTCCAGCATCCTTTTTTTGACTGTAATGACCCAGACTAAGAACCGAGTGCAGAAATCCCCGGGATAAATGCACAAAGCTGAGCTATGAGCTGGGGATGAGGCATAAAAAAGCCACGGTGATGGATGAGACAATTCAGTTGTTGTCTTTTTTTCTTCATATTTTAATGGGGGAGGTAACACAGGCCCTCCTTTCTTAGATTACCGGTCGATCTAACTCACTGAATATCAGAAGTCAGTGCGCAGTTATTCGGGATAAAAGCAATTGGGCATAAAATTTTCTTCTCTGGTCGACAACACAATGTTAATAACTATTTCATGGTCGGCTCCGTGCAATCGAACAGTTTCCTTTTGGATTAGATCGTTATTTGAATTGGGTTGCATGCCAGTCCAGATTTGCACATTTTTTGTATTTAAAAACTCTTACAGTAGTTGTTGAGAGATTCAAAAAATGAAAATCAACTCAGAACAGATGTTTCCAGCTGCTCTGAAGGCTGAGCTGGACCTAAACGCGTCACAACAACCGTCTCCAGGTATTTTTGTGTGCAATTTACCACCCAGGAGCTCCGTTTTGAGCCCATCTTTATCAGAATTGTGGTGATGAGCATAGGTCAAACAAGAGTGCTGATTTCCTGTAGCTTGATGATGTGCCATTTTCATATCCTCGGTAAATGTCACGGCCTTTGTATTAGTTTTGTGTTCGGCTTGTAATTTCACGGTACATTCGATTAATTAAAGATAGAGAGCTTTTTTTTCTCTCATATAAATAGAGAGGCATTATAGTCAGCATGGTCCGTTTTAATCTTGTACTTCCACAGCATTCTGCTCTGTTATGGATGCCTGGCCATAGAGAGGAAATATTTATATTTATATTGATTTATTTGATGTTTTTTTGGTATGTCTTCGTTCAGACCAACCACTTGCCAAAACTTCATATCCAACGTTTGGAGATATGAAGGCTATAAAATACAAATTATTGAAATTAAAGGCTCAATTTGTAAAAATATGGGAATGTGGAGGGGGTTGTATGGCTTTTATCTTCAAAACGATTAACAATCTTTCTGATGGTATAAAGCAGAGAGATCTGCTCTATAACAAGAACATATCCAGACTTGTTTAATATCTCCTGTGATGTCAACGCAGCCAAAACATTCTCCAGTGAAGCGACAACTCAGTGTAGGCGATGTAATGAGAGACTGGAGATGAACCTTTCCGTCTCAAATTTGTCAACGCTCCACCGACCCGAAACCGTATATTAAGATAACACAGAAATGTTTTGAATAAGTTTTCTGAGCTCACAAAATGAGATAAAATAACTCATACTGTATTAAGGAGGTAATGGATCGAAACAAATCATTTAAAATCCAGCAAATATACTAGCGTTACAGATAGCTCCTAGAAATGTGTGATATTCTACACAGAGACAATGACTTCAGCCTATTTACAAATTTAATTATACACTTTTTTTATGCAAGGTAATTGTTTATTTGTCTGTCTGTTGAACCCCAGAACACTGTTCCTATGCATGCCACTTGACTATTCCCTCCCACTCTGTCTGATTTATTCCGCACAGTCACTGTTGTACCTCGCTTCATTAAGCCACACCAATTTCCCACCGTGTGAGCTGCCAAAATACAGGATATGAGGAAATGTCAGATATTATCCCTTTGACTACCTTATGTAACTCCTGAGCGTATGTCAGGGTTAATCCTCTTACGGGGCGGACAGGAGTTGCCCTAATAGGAAACCAAACACACTTTGCCTCATCTGTCGCTGCCTTTTAATAATTAAAATGGAGTTTTTTTTTTTCGTGAAGGCCATCAAACCAGAGTAATCCACGCTGGAGGACAAGCTTCTGCTCTTTAATCTATGATTACTTGCTCCCAGCCATGATTTTGGATGAGCACGTGTGTTTGGTTGCTAAACTGCATCTGGAGGGGATGTTGAACGGCGGATAACCGATCACGAAAAATTTTCTGGATGGTTTTACCTAAAAGTCATTCATACAGGGAAAATGTGACTAAAACACTTTCTCTGAAAGCAATGTTGTGACGATTGTTTTTTCCAGGAATGATTAAGAAATGAAATCGGATTGATAGAGACATAAGGGTTAAAGTCAGCTACAGATTATGTGTAACATTACCAAACTAGTATTATTATAGACAGACTGTGTGAGTTGGTCCTGATGCTTTACTTGAAGCAAGAACTCTACTTCACTCTGGTGGACGAAAAGAGAATAGCTTGTCTGGGTAACTAAAGATAAAATACACAAACTTTTAACCACAGTAATATAACATTATTTATTAGTTATTATGAAGTTTGATAGTGAACATCTTCTGTTCTGGTCCATTACTTTTAATGACAAAGCATTGATCAGTACTGATGACTTACACAACTAGAGAGCTTAATAATTCTTTCATGGGACCAGTAAAACTTTTTGTGGTGAAACACAAAATCGAACCACTTGCAGGGAGTTGCGCAGTGTGTCCTCGCCTTTTTATAACCATCCCTAAAATGATACAACGATTTCCTGTTAAAGCCGCAACGCTCAAAGCTATAAGGGCTCGTTCTCATTCAGGTTTAGATTCCTGTTCACACACTGGTTTCAAGGTTCTGCCGGTTACGTATGCGTCCGGTTTTGGTGATCACACTTTTTCCTGGCTTTGCCTCGATTTCAAAAGAGGCACAACTCCAGCAAGAAGCAGTTAGAGAGAGAGAGGTTGTGTCAGTTTCTTCTCAATTTCCCACGTCCCCACCCGGACAAAAACCTGGTCTGAGGAGTGATAGGGGGAGAAAACACGGGTGATGCCTAATCCAAATTACAAAAGCAACTCTGATGATGCAGACTTGTTCACAATCAAGTCAAATTCCTTTTAACTGTTCATTCCTGATAATTATGGATACACTGACAGTGGATTCAGACAGACTGAAAAGTCAAATGACCATTAATTTGTATTTAAATAGGCATTTTAAACATCAAATATCTATTGGAGCATATTTATTTTACTTTCTGAAGTTAACTATATACTAGTTGAGGCTAAAAGCGAAACTAAATGCAAAAACAAACTTTCCACAAATGCAAATGCAGCAGAACTCGAAATAAAGATTTGACCACTGAATTCTAAATTGATTGAAGAACAAAGGAACTGGTGCGGTCACACTTTTGTCAAATGTGGAGAATAAACACAATGACTCAAATTTCTGTACAATAAATAATGTTTATTACAGCATTTATCAATCTAAATTCAGGTGGAAAGCATCTCTGGTTTCAGCCAACTGTGGATGGCGCCACAGTAGCCCGGATAGAATTCATCTCTATGTATTTTTATTGCACTACACTATAGCTGAGCAGATGGCCTGACATTCCTCAACATTTGTATGTACAATAAAGCAAAAAACGTGAACCCCTTAAACAAGGAGAAAATGTAAACAGGATTTCATCATTCAGTTGGCTCCGGAGAGCAGCAGAGCAGTTCCTAAAACCAAAAAAAAAAAAACATCTGGAAAAAAGGTACGTTTTTGCTCGAAAAAACCTACATTCAGGAGCTGAAGCTGTGCACTGCCCGCGTAGAGTCCCAAGAGGAGAAACAAGTAGTGAGACCTGCGGTCCAATGTCCCCTCGCGTGGCCAGTGCTGACCCGAAAGGCCGAGGTCGCAGAGTGCCCAACGCACGTCCCACGGCTGACCAGCAGGAGGCGCTGGTCTGCCGCGGCAGGAGGAGAATGTGAGGGCCCAGAACATGCAGGAAACCCGACGTTCTCCCTCCTCTATACAGTGAAAACCAGACACCAGCCGACAACCTGGAAATGAGAGACACTGGGAGTAAACACTGGGAATGCATATTTACTCTTGTTTGTTACTCACAGGTTTCAGATGTCCGATAGCTTCTGCCAACATTTTACTGAGCCAACATACCGCTTCTATTTCCTTTATTATTAGTTCATTCTATCCGCTTTGAATCCTTTAACTTTAGCTGAGTATGCAGGAGACTCAGGGGAGGTAAAACGTCTAGTAAGAAACTACCAGGCAAAAAAAAAAGAAAGAACCCTTTCAATTTTACTTCACATTCAAACTGTTTTGACAAAAAAATGAAGACAAGTATGATTCAGACATGGAAGCTCTATTGGAACTCTTGGCTCTGGTAGAACTCTAAACCTTTGAATTTGATTGTGATTTGCAAATTAAATACTGCAACTCTAGACTTTCGGGCATTTTAACCCTTTAAAGCCCGATCCAAGAATAAAACAAAACAGAAAATTATTTATTTTTTTGTTAGAATTCCTTATTTGGCCTTTTAACAAAATATGTAAAAAGAAAAAACAGAAATACATTTTTTATATTAATGATTCATTACTATGCGATAAGTCAAGATTATTTTTGTGTAGTCTTCTGCCCCCTGTTATCAGGTATATCTGATTGTGTACAATAGGATTTTGAACAAAGTTTTTACCATTAAATTATACAAAAGGTGTCAGACGCAAAACATTTCAGAAACCGTATGTATCAAATATGATACATTTGGCATTATAGGGTTAAAGTCATGGGAAATGTTTGAGTCAGTAATTTGGACGCTACATTGACCGTACCAATTGGCGTGTTCAGGGCCACTCCTTGTGATGGGCCTTCTCTTTCTTCTTCTTCTCATTTTTCTCCTTCTGCAGCCTCTCCAGCTCGGCCTCGTACATCATCTCCTGGATCAGGTACTTCTCGCGCCGCATCCGGTCCCGCAGGTCCTTGGGGAGGTCGGGGATTAGGTACGCGATCAGGGTCTTGATGGCGAAGACCATGTGCTGTAAAAAAACAGAGCGCGTCACGAATCCAAGACCACGTCAACGAAGCGAACACGTGGAAAACTGTCGCTTAACACCTTTTTTCCTAACACATTACTTCGCTGTGGTTTTAAAATCTAACAGGCAGCCTGCTTTTTTTTCTTTCCGAACGGCTCCTTAGTGACATTAGCCCTGCGGCACTTTCTTTGTTCTTTGTACAAATGTTATCACGTTGATTTGTGGATGACTGCCCTTGTGGAAAACCGTGTCCCCAACAGTAAAAGGACATGGTCCAGTCCACGCCAGTTTGGGCAGACACATTAATGTCTCTAGAATAAATTAGATAAAAACTAAGTGCCTCTTTGGGTTCAGATTGGCCCAAAAGCCAATCTTTACAGCTCAGCTCACCACCTCGAAGACTACACACCAGTTGCTCGGATGCCTGTGGTTATGAAATGCTTTGAGCGACTGATGCTAGCTCATCTGCTCATAACAGGTTTCTGCCTGTTAAAAGGAAGTTTTTCCTTGCCTGTGTCGCCTAGTGCTTGCTCATGGTGGGAATAGTTGGGTTTCTGTAATTATCTTCAGAGTACAGTCTGACCTGCTCTGTTTGGAAAGCGCTGTGAGACAACTGTTGTTGTGATGTGGCGCTATATAAATAAAATTGAATTGAATTGAATTGAATCTGAAGGACACCACTGATGAACCTACTAGACCCCCTCCAGTTTTCCTACAGGCCAAACAGGTCAACGGATGATGTGCTCCGTACTACATCCTGCACCCCTTTCACTCCGCAGGGCCCTCGGGAACCCCTCCGCTGTCATTGGACTCATACAAAATGTCGATGAGTCAGCATGCAGGAGAGAAAGAGACCACAGTGGACTTCAGGAGGAACCCTCCATCAAAACCCTTTCTCTCACAATCCTCAACAAAGGAAACCAGATCCATTCCTGGAGTCCACAATTTGACCTGCCTGAGGTTTTACTTCCTTGTTCAGATCTGCCACCAAACACAACGTGGACAGACTGCAGAGAATAATGGAG